GATAGCGGAATCAGAGAAAAACTTTAGGGGAAGGTGGGAAATGGCAGGAGTGGAGGCCAAGGCCGAAAATGGCCTCGACGTCGAGGAGACCAAATTCCTGAACTCTGAGGAGTGCAACGAGCCCAACCAGAACAGTTATGGAGTATCCATCGAGAGGGTGAAAAAGTTTCGCTACCTGGGAAGCGTTCTGGCCCAGAAGGGTAGCATGGATCAGGCAATAAGAGCTAGAATGAGTGCGGCTTTGATGGTATTGAGGGAGTGCACAATCATGCCGGCGACCGAATATGCTTCAGAACTCTCAAAGGAAAGGTTTACCAGGCAGTGACAAGACCTGCGATGCTCTACGGCAGCGAAAGCTAGCCCTTATGCAAGAACTGTGAGGAACAATTTCACTCTGCTGAAATAAAATGCAGGTGGCCTGTGGACTCGTCTGGATCGAGTCAGAAACGAGACGTCGGAGTGGTCACACAGACGGCTCCAATACAGCTGAATGCAAGCAGCGACTGCGATGGTACGAGCACGTGGTGAGAAGGCTTAAATACCCGATAATGAAGGCACTGGACTTTGGAACTCAGGATCACGAGGAACCCCGAAGAAAAGGTAGAGAGACGTGATCAAGAAGAACCTCACTTGAGGGCCACGGAAGAGGTTGCCTCAGACGGAAGAAAATGGTGACGAACAGTGCATTCTGCGACAGCGAGGGGCTACTTCAGAGAGAAGAGAAGGAAAGATCGCTTTGTATGACGACTTACACGCGGATCAGCGAGTGTCTACTGTTGAGCTTGCAGCGTCGTAGGGCGATTTCACGCGCTTGTCGACCTCCTTGCGAGCTCTCGGACTGTTCTTCTTTCACTGGGATACGTTTTCAAAAACAGTACGTTAGTGACAGTCTCCTTCGCAAGGCAACATGCGTTCGGGCGCTGCTTAGATTCGGTAGCGATAGGATCGATATGGTGTAAAGGTTCATCCTATATTGCTTACTTACTTGTCCTTATTTCATGCACAAGGTTTCCGGAACCTATTTCCTGATGCATGTTTTTGGTTTTCGATTTTTCTCCTGATTTCATATGGTATGTATCAGGTTGGAAAGAAAGTCCTGCGAAAATCTGATGAAGTTGTTCTGGAGAAAGACCAAAAAATGTTAGCGTTTTCTTCTCTGATTAGTGGGGAAGTGTTCTCAGAGGTTTCTGTAGACCGATATATGTATTATTGTGGAGGCTGTCAAAGCTCAAAGGTCCCCCAAAGTGAAAGGTGTTTTTCCATTTATTTTTCCATTTTTTTATTCTTTTTATTTATTATTTTATTTGTTTAGGTTATTTTTTTCTTGCCATGGCAGAGTGTTCCGTTTGTATCAGCGCTTGCAAACTGGAGTTATTCAATTCGGAGGTAGACAAACGTATAGGTCGGCCACCAGCACAGAATGACGGCCGTTTACTCAACCCGTCGGAGGCGCAGCCGAACGTAACCACCAGTAATTTGGCAGCATCTATAGGCTGCACCTGACTGATAACTGCCATGCTTCTCCACAATCTCGGTCACCGGGAAAATTTTCTGTGGAGTGAGTTGCACCACATGAGTTCCAATCTAACGCCACCGAATAGTCGTGACTGAACGACTCTTCTTATACAAACTGGAAGAACTATTGAGAGACATTGTGGTTGCTAACAGAGTGGGTTCCTTGCATGATCCATGAACACCACGTTCCCAGGAGTTCTCAAGGAGAAAAGTCGCTTGCTCAGCTAAAAGAAAATGTGCATGGAAAGAACATTCCACTGTGTTGTTTATAAGGACTTTAAAACGATGTTACCGGACACAGGCACGTTGTGACGAACTCAGCAAGCCTAATCAACTTCAAAATATGGATGACGCCACGCATGGATTTATTCAGAAGCAGCACTCAATTTCTCTGTGCTACTCGGCGAGACCGCATGTAGCGATGAGGCCACAAATTTATGGATTATTTATGGCTAAGGCGGCCTCTAACTACCACCTCCTTTGGTCCCCCCCTACATCTATTAGAAAGCAAAAATTTTGAACACCAACCTTCACCCAAAAATGGTCAAGGTCTACCTCTTCTCTTTTCATCGTGGTTGCCGTTCTATAAGAGTACAATCGAGAGGCTGTGCGAAAGGCGGGCACTAGTCCTAGTTATATATGGCGATAACTCTCTTAGTGAAGGAAAATGTGGTCCGAAATATTGTAAGGTATCGCAGGATCTCCTTTCCAACCAAATGGTACTAGAGGATGCGAGAAGAAAAGATTCATGAGTTAGTTGCATAGGTGCTGCAGGGTGTCGATTTACAAGTAAGTCTGGAGTACTCTTGCAATGAGGCTGTGTAACTGTCGGGGAGGGTTTTCGTTTACAATGTAGAAAGCAAAAATTTTGAACACCAACCTTCACCCAAAAATGGTCAAGGTCTACCTTCTTCTCTTTTCATCGTGGTTGCCGTTCTATAAGAGTACAATCGAGAGGCTGTGCGAAAGGCGGGCACTAGTCCTAGTTATATATGGCGATAACTCTCTTAGTGAAGGAAAATGTGGTCCGAAATATTGTAAGGTATCGCAGGATCTCCTTTCCAACCAAATGGTACTAGAGGATGCGAGAAGAAAAGATTCATGAGTTAGTTGCATAGGTGCTGCAGGGTGTCGATTTACAAGTAAGTCTGGAGTACTCTTGCAATGAGGCTGTGTAACTGTCGGGGAGGGTTTTCGTTTACAATGTTCTTATGTAGTTTTCCTTCTTTCTCAACTGTGAAGTCAATTATTGGCTGGTGGTTTATAACTGAACGCCTCTGCTCATGATACTTGATCGCGGTAAGTGTCTTTAATGGTTTATGGAAGGCAATCAGAAAGTGAAGCAAAACATTTCATTTCACTTTCAGTCACCTTTAAGAGGAGTTCCATATACCTTTTCTCGACGCACCGAATTATGACGCTATTCAGGAAAGGTCAACAGGTCAGCCCGGCCATATGCAATGAGATGCACATCATTGTACTCATCTTGACACGGTGAACTCGAAACTATCTTCAAAATTTGCGGAACGATTCTCTGAGCGGAGTTATGGAGGTTTTTCTTCATTGTTGCACCTGTAGCACGACTCACAGCGCTCTTCGCGCAGAATAGCTATCATATTCGTGTTCAGGGGGTCAAATAACCCCCAGAGACGTCACCTTAGCGAAATCTGAGGTTCTGACTCAACTTCGAAAAAATGGGGTATGGATAGTCATGGCTGACTGATAGCCACCAGCGATACTACGACTAGCATACTAGCATACTGATGATGACTGTTTCCGAGCTGAAATAGCTCTTCAGTCATGTCTTTCGGCACCTGGCCCACTGACGTGCAGTTTGCATCATTTTCCTGATTACCGGTAGGAATTCCATCCCGAGACCAGTCATCGATGGTAGGTGAGCTCGTAACTGCCGCTTATTACCCATGGAATAACTCACATTTTCCAAGTTAGGTCGAAATATCAGATTCGGCTAGAAACTTGTTCCCAGAGGTAATTTGACCCGCTGAACACGAATATCATGGTATTATATTGCAAAAACCCTTGCGACATGTACTACAGGGGGGACAAGCACAAGCACTCTTTCAGGCCACAATGGGTCTACACTTTCGAAAAAAAACTGGTCGCAGTTTCCTTACAGGATAGTGCAGGCGAGCAGAGATGTTAGAAGCTTTGTCGGCCATGTTCTTGGACAAATGCAAAAAAACGCCCTGCCGAGAACCGATCCTACAGACGTCTCGCCTAGTAAACCAACTCGCTATCCGCTTGCGCTCTACTGCCACGTTTCAATTTGGACTCCATTCTTGTATATGAAGACGCTTCCACGTTTCCTCGCGATAGCATGTGAAACAACCACGCGGGGATAAACCCTCCATAACTCCGTTCAGAGAGTCGTTCCGCAAATTCTGAAGGTAGATTCGAGTTCACCGTCCCAAGACTCGTACAACGGTGTGCACCTCATTGGAAATGGCCGGGCTATCCGCTGCGCTCTACTGACCTGTTGACCTTTCCTGGTAAGATTTAAATTCTACAAGGCAGAGGTTACTTCTGTCTGCCCTGTGAAATGTTCTAGTAGTGTGCTCTGTGAATGCTACAAAAGCTGAAAACCTACCACAATAACGGATATTAAATGGTCTGTACTATAAGCATTGCATTCTAAGGAAGCAACCAAAAGAAGCAAATAGAACGATCTCACAAACTCCATGCTTGTTGTATAGGCTTGCTGCAAAAAAGGAAAACGTACAATACAACAGAAGCCGAGTCAGATATAAAAAAATCAAATTCGCGAATGAGGTTCATGAACGAAGAGACAAGCCTACATAAGCGAACATTTTTGTTTCCAAAGGCTCGCCCTGATTTATATGCGGCCCTGCCGAAGATTTCGACAGAAATAGATCGTCTGGTATCTATTCAAGTCTTGACGCCCATCGACCACTCAATGGGCCGCACCGATCGTCGTCGTTCAGAAGAAAAACGGAACGATTCGACTCTGTGCAGACTACTCAACTGGACTCAACAATGCATTGGAACAACACCGACACCCACTTCCAAGCCCAGACGACATCTTCACAAAACTCAATGGAGGACGCTACTTCTCTCAGCTCGATCTCGCTGAAGCCTACCTTCAGTTGGAAGTGGATGATGAGTCAAAGAAGCTGTTGACAATCAATACCCACCGTGGACTATACCGTTTCAATCGACTACCGTTTGGAGTGAAACCTGCACCTGGCATCTTCCAACAGTGCATGGACGCACTCATCACTGTAGATGGAACTGCCGCCTATCTCGACGACATACTGGTCACTGGCAGAACCATCGATGAACACAACACTCGACTAGAAGCAGTGTTCAAGAGGATCCAGGACTATGGATTTCGTGTACGACTCGAAAAATGCACCTTTCTACAGACAGAAATTACCTACCTTGGATTCGTCGTCAATGCACAAGGACGACACCCCGATCCAGACAAGATCAAAGCCATTCAGAAGATGCCCGCTCCAACAGACATCAACCAGCTTCGCTCATTTCTAGGACTCATCAATTTTTATGGAAACTTCGTCAAGGATCTGCACAATTTACGCGCTCCACTAGACGCTCTCACGAAAAAGGATGCTGTCTACAAGTGGACACAGGAGTGGCCAATCTTCCTTCGACAAGATCAAGGCAACATTAGGCTCGGATCTCTTATTAACTCACATCGACCCCGGTCTACCAATCATCGTAGCTGTCGATGCTTCCAACTATAGAATCGGATGACATCTGCACAGAAAACCTACAGCCAGACTGAGAAGGAAGCACTCGCTCTCATTTTTGCCGTGCAGAAGTTTCATCGCTTCATCCACGGACGACACTTTACGCTGAAGACCGACCACAAGCCGCTCGTCGCGATCTTTGGAAGCAAGAAAGGAGTACCAATCTACAGTGCCAACCGTCTTCAGCGATGGGCCACAATGTTACTCAACTACAGCTTCACTATCGAATACGTCAACACCAAGGATTTCGGGCAGGTGGACGCTCTCTCTCGTCTCATAGCGTCGCACTCGTCAATACCGGAAGACTACGTGATCGCCTCCGTCGACGCCGATACCACCGCCGAGCTCATAGAAAACTGTCGACACCTTCCAGTATCTGCCGAATCCATCCGAATCGCTACGAAAGCCGATCGTTTGATCCAGCAAGTGATCAACCATGCAAAATCCGGCAAATGGCCCAAAGTGGACCGCAACTCACCCTTATGGTCTTATTACAACCGCAGAAACACCCTCACGACTGTTAGTGGATGTCTTCTAACCGCATCCCGTATAGTGGTTCCTCAATCGCTACAACATCGTGTTCTGACAGCACTCCACAAAGCTCATCCAGGACAAACAAGGATGAAAATGCTCGCTCAGGACAAACAAGGATGAAAATGCTCGCACGAACTGGCCAGCACTTGGACGCTGACATCGAACACATGGTCAGGACCTGCCCCAAATGTGCTTCAGTTGCTAAGGACCCAGTCAAGGCCGAACTGCAATCCTGGCCGAAACCAACGTCTCCATGGAATCGAATACATGCTGACTTCGCCGGACCGATAGAAGGACGATATTACCTGATAATCGTGGATGCCTACTCCAAGTGGCCTGAAATAGTCCAGGTATCAACGAATTTCAGCCGGTCCAAGCAATAAGGAAAATTTTTGCCAAATTGCGAAACACACTCGTCACAGACAATGGGACGCAGTTCACATCTTCACAGTTCATTTCGTTCTGCCGTTCCCGAGGGATCACACACATTCGCACACCGCCGTTCCATCCGCAAAGCAACGGACAAGCGGAACGATTTGTGGACACCTTCAAACGAGGACTTGCCAAGTTGAAGGGGGAGGAACCGACAGAAGACGCTCTACAGACGTTGTTGATGGCTTACCGCTCTACGCCATGCCCGTCTACACCAGATCAACGCTCACCTGCAGAAGCCTTCTTGGGACGCCGACTTCGAACCGAACTCGATTTGATGCTGCCAACAAAAGACGTCACGGCAGGAACACGAGACGTCAAGATGGAAACTCAGTTCAATCGTCGAAATGGAGCACGACGCCGCAGCTTCGAAGTCAATGACGCTGTTAACGTCAAGGATTACCGAGGACCGAAGCCTGCTTGGACACCTGGTATCATCATTCAACGCACTAGAAAGCCACATACGTAGTTCGCTGTGGAAACGACCTTTGATCTACCGCTGTTCAACTTCACGAGCAAGGACAATGTGACCTCCCAGACAATGACTACCGAACCGCTTCGACGATCACAACGCGTCCGACGTCATCCACACCGTCTTCCAGCTGGACCCTCAAAGGTCCGGATATTTGTTCGCTAAAAGGGGGAGGTTGTAGGGTTCACAGTGTATGAAATGAGAAATATCTGTTCATAGGAATTATCATTGTTATTCCTCGTGATGTTTACATTGAGTCGGTTGTCATGTATATGGTGAGGTTCATTCTTCTTCTCCGTGTGCTTCCACCTGATAAACTCCTTCATTGCTACTCTTCGGCTGCACATCACACCACTGCACTTCAACACAGCTACAACGAATCATCTCCTTCCCGTTCGGTAGCTTATCTTATTAGCAGGTAATTTCAAGCTGGCCAGCATAAACTTTGAAGCTCTAAGGTTCCACTGAGGGTGAGGAACAATGTTCTGCGCAATGGAGATCTGTTGTAGATATTTTAGGCATGAGTGTGCTATGGTTATCTTCCCCAAGTTCTACCTGTGGCCCCGACGCGGCATGAGGAGGTGGCTATGGCCAGCTATCGTTATAGGATTGAAGAACTGCAGAACTTCGCTCAGGGATATTGTTCAACTTCTGCACATTGCAGCTAGCCCCCTCCGTAATACACCAAATTAAAACACCGTAATGGACACGCAAGCCAGGAAGTCCCTCCGTAAAGGACAAGCTCAAGACATCAGAATCACCAGACTTACCATGGTACCCTGACCGGCCGCTCTGCCGAGGTGATCAACATGCTGACAAAAATGAACATTGACATGCATGCGATTCAGCAAACGGAACGGGCTGGCATCAACACAAAATGGATCGGAGGATTCGTTATGTGCTATAACAAGAAACGATCCACTGTCAACGATGTCGCCATTGTTGTGTCGTAGAAGCTGGAGCACACAGTTGAAGAGGTGCAAGTTGTCTCCGACCGCATCATGAAAAGTATTGTGGTCTTCAGCATAAGAGCGAGCCATGTTATATGCATCTACGCGCTGCGGGAAGACTTTCCCAGTGCCGACAAGGACAAATTTCGATAGAAGCTTGCCGGCGTGACATCTATGCTCCCATTTGACGAAGACAAGTGCACCGTGGGTGACTTCGAGGAGCAAGCAACCATCAATTCAAAGAAATTCAAAGACGTTTTGCCCAGGTACAAGGAGTTAAGCCTGCTCACGCATAGGAGAATGCGTCAAATCACTGGATCTTATCATAAACAACTCCTTTCGAACGAGAGAATCCTACTTAATTGTGCACTACAAAGGCGTAAAAGCATCATCGACAAATTTGGCGCGAAGGAGCCAACGAAGCGACGTGCTGGACTGCAAGCTGATCCCATCAGCAACGATCAACGTCAACACCGTCCAGTCATTGCAACTACTGAGATGACGACCTTTTTATCCGCCTCCAAACATCAGAGATTTTAAAAAGTAACAGGATTGCTCGGGTGATGATGATGCCAGAAGGAAAAGTTTTATCTGACTTCGAAAGAGGCCAAAGCGTTGTCAAAAGAACCAGGGTTCGTCGAACTGTCGAATAGAGTGCGATTTGGGCCTAAGACATCCACTGATCCACAGTTTCGTAAAAGACCCTGCGAAATGTGGAACAAAAAAGAGTCTAGGACACCCTTTGTTTCTTTATGACAAGGATAGACGCCACATCTTTAAAGAAGCATCCAGTGGTACCAATATGTGTGAGGAGACCAAATCTTCTCCGAAGCTCATTGTCTCGATGAAGACTGCTTGGTAGGTGCTGAAGAAGTCCAACTTCGTCAATGATAAGAATCCACGGTAAATGCCGAGTTGCCTTCTCCAGATTATGTAGCCGAGTCGGACTGAAGCAAGCTTATGCCCAGTGATTCGTCTTTGTAGCCGTTTTTCCTACTTTAGGTTGCTTTTCTGTTGAAAAAAGTTTGATTCCGATGGACGCCATGGTAATGATTAGCGCGGTCCTACAAAAAATGAGCTTCATTTTTTTGGGGAGATTTTATAGGGGGCGATATCATGGCCTGGGTCGCGACCACATCAGCAGGACGTCTGAAGCTGCTTTGTTTCCACGAAGATGGATTCTTCATGTTACCTTAACACCGTGCATCGCTGATCTCTTCCTTTCTGGCCGACTTGACATGAAAATCTTGTTTATATGCAAGACAATGCACCTATTCATGATAGTCGCACTCGATTTGGCCGCCACCAAGTCTTCTTCTTCTTCTTCTTCTTCTTCTTCTTCTTCTTCTTCTTCTTCTTCTTCTTCTTCTTCTTCTTCTTCTTCTTCTTCTTCTCCCTAGCGTTAGTCGCGCACCGTCGCACGGTCCGCCTTCTTGTTAAGCCGTCGCCATCTTCTCCTGTCCAGAGCATCCTCTTCGTGCCTTTCACTTCAGAGAGGACTTTCTTGATCTCGTCCCTCCATCTTTTCTTCGGGGCTCCTCGAGGACGCTTGCCTTGTGCTTCGAAGCCCAATGCCTCCCTGGAAAATCTAGCCGCAGGCCCAACTCAGCATTTAAGCAGCGTGAAGCTGTCTTTCATGGTTCTCGCTTATGGCTGAGCACTCTCTGCTGTACAGCATAGCCCGCTTATCAATGCCTGGTACACCTCGCCTTTGAGGGCTCTGCACCATCGCCGATCGCAGAGGATGCAAGTGGATTCCCTTCCTTCATAAAAGCCCGCTATTCGAGGCTTTTCTGCCTGGCCCACGCTACCTCATAGGCCATATCGCTAATGCAAGTTCTCCAAACTCCCAATGGGTTCGCCATGATTGTCTTGGATGGACTCGGTGCACTCCGCAAAGCTCAAAAACTGGGTCTTCTTGACGTTCAACTTGAGTCCATTCTCGGCAAATACCTCCGACCATTTTTGTATTTTCTCCTGGAATTCCTCTCTGCCCTCCGCTATCAGGTCAATGTCTTTGGCATAGAGAATGGACTTGAGTGGCCCCTCCATGACTTCCTTTGCCATGACATCCAGGGTCAGTAGGACGAGAAAGGTGCTAGGAGCTGACCTTCGTCTTATGTCTACCTCCTTTGTGATGCCGTGTGGGATGCGTACACATGCCTTAGCCCGATCGTACATGTCCTTCACCATGAAAATGAGTTTCTCGGAAAATCCCGTTCTCTGAGAGCCCTCCAGATTACATGTGGCGATGGGACGACCGAAGGCCTTTTCGAGATCCAGGAAGGCTAGGCAGCAAGGTCGACGCTTCTCGATACTTCTCCATCACCTGTCTGGCGATGAAGATGGCATCTGTGGTGGACCTTCCGGGTAGAAGCCGAATCGCTCCTGCAAAATCGAAACGAGGTCTCTTAGCCTGATGTTGACTAAGCTCTCATACAGCTTGATGGTATTTGCGGTCAATCTGATAACCCGGCCTTCCAGGCCTCAGTGGGTACCCGCCTGGACCAGTCGCCTTCCCAACCTTCATGCTGTCCATTTGTCCCGCGAGCTTCACTCTCTGTTCAGACTGGGATGCGGCGCCGCCTAAACAAGGAGTTCCCTCTCAAAGACAACACACAGGTAGAGGCGACGACTGCTCCATCACAGTCTCGACAGAGAATGAGGTCCGTTGACAAATGAAAAGGATGAACGCTGGGAAAGCGACTGGTCCTGAAGGGATACTTTTAGGAGTTCAACCCTTTCCACCTTCTCTTGACTTCGACTGGCTTCCTCAGAATGACACAAATGGCTTTTCTGCCCTGACCGTCGAATAGCCCTGACTTGAATCTAATGGAAAAAGTGTGGGGTTTCGTGGCGTGAAGGATTCACATCAATAACGCTTGACTCCAGGACCTGGGTAACCTCAAGAAAGGAATTATTGAACGGTTGCACCAAGTTTAACGCTTGCCGATAAGCTCTATTTGAACACTGACAATCGTGTACTTCAAGTCACCCGAAGAAATTGGGAAAGATTACTGGATTAGCAATTTAACTTCTCTGTGGTGCTTTCGTTGTTGAATGAAGCGATTCGCTAAAAAGAGTATGGCTATGCCAAATAAGTCTGGTCTGGTCGTGATTGGGCTTCACGAGTGGA